ATTCGGCTTTCACTTTGACTTGGATTTCGGTCACTTTGATCGCTAATGCATCTCAGGATCGACCATTACGGAGGTCTTACCTCCGTATAATAATTCTTTGTTTGCGTTTCACTTCATCCAACTCATGAAGTAGGGCTGTCGAAGGGCAGCCGTCTCAGATGTGCAGTGGAAGGATAGACCTCCTAAGCCAGTCCAATTGCTGCTTCAACGATTCAGACACCTCTAATTTACATGAGTATCAGCCGGCTGTGTCGATCGAAGGCATTCAACAGGTCTCGGGGATTGATCGGGAAATGCAGTATTGAACTCAATTCTTCGATTTTCAATTGGCTCTATCGAATCGGAGCGAGAGTTTGCCTCAGGTTTCAAGCATATTTTTGGAAGAGGCGAAGAGAAGCGATGATTTCACCTTGAACACATGGCTCTTGAGCTATCTACAGATCTTATTCTTATATTATCGATGGAGATGAACTGCGAGGTCTACAGGCTAAACTCGCTTGCAAACATAGCGTCAAGTTGTATGCAGTTGTTTCAGGGACAGGTTCTAGGAACAGACTGCTGATTTCGGTTTCAGCTCCCAACAGGACCTCTTCCTGACATTTCGAGTTTTATCATGAGACGATTCTGCTGAATGGAACTCACATCAATTGACCTCAATCACTTACCCTTCACCGCATTGCCGCTCTGTGCAACTCACCGTCATTATAAGAATACTTCACATTACATTGACTAGCAAGTGGTCTGGACTACCCTGGCTTCAAGAAGAAAATAAGGAATGCATTGCTCGTCCCGAGATGCACATTCCAGAATACAATGCACATTTCAGAATCCGACCATTTTTTGCAGAGTTACAAAATTCCAATTTTTGTTTGTGATACAGCACGTAGATAAGAGCTGTGCAGAGGGAACATCATCGCCCTGGTTTTGGAATGGAGGGCATGGAGCAATCTTATAACGGAGCTCTTTGGGTGAGCCTAGCAGCCTGTCGTCCTCAAGACTGCACGACACTCTCTGCCTTCTAATTTATACCAAAGGCGCGGAGTGAATCCGAATCAATGCAGCGAGAAATTTGTTAACTTCTCGATTTTAATCTTTCTCGACATTTTGTTGAGGCTGGACGATTTTTAAGTGAGATCTGCACAGTTGGTTTTCATATCCTCAATTCCGATTGATTTTGAGGCGATCTGAAGACACCTCGTGTGTGTGTGGCCAGTCGAATTTATTTCCACCTTGGAGCTGCTCTGTCTTGTAGCTCTCAGTGTCCCTTCTCTCTAGCGCTTGTTTCTTTCTTCGTCAGTTGGCTACGACTCCTTTATCCTTTTGGTTGCATCGGTGTATGTGCGGAGTGGGCCCAGCTGTTGTATAAGGGCGATCGATCTTCATGTCTAAAATCCGTACGAGTTTTCTATCAGTTTGCATGCTCATATTACAATTATTCTTAGCTTTGTAGAAATTTTGATTACCTCTATCAACTGTAGGGTCCGCACAGATTGAAGAAGGGTGTGCATGCATTCAAAGGGAGCAGCACCCTTGGAATACAAAGGGGGATACATGCTTCTGGCGGCGTGCTTGCCTGGTGTTCGGTGCCCTGGTAGGCTCAACTCCCACGGGTGCTTCTTCCTGATGTCAGTTGTTGAGCAATACGTGCTTCGCTGAATGACGCGTTTATACTTGCAGATAATATATATACCTCAGATCAGAGGCCGCTAAGAAGGAGGCCGTCTCAGCCTGACGTGTGCCTTGGGGGAAAACATTTGTTAAATCCGGGGTCCCTCCTAAAGAAGGGCTTCCAGTCCTGACCTCTTTTTAGAATGTGCCTGATTTTTGTTCCTGCAAAGGTCTGGACTTCACTTTCCAGTTCCTACCTTGGAATTGAGCAACTTCTCTGATTGCTTCTTTTACTGTCAAAGTCTAAATCTAGAGGAGGGTGCAATCGAATTATTGTTGCTTTCTCGTGCGCAGAAATCCGCGTTGTATACGAGTCCTGTTATCAGAACTTCAAGCGACACGCTGAGTTTAGATAACAGTTAGTTCAAAACGAATCGCTATTAGTTCGTAACTGTTTAGCCTGTGAGGAACTGGATGCATGCAGGAAGAAGAAGTAGAAGAGAAATCAGATTTGGTGCCATGTGAGGGGTAGTTGTAAGAATTGGGGAAAACCAGACACAAGTACTATAGATATCGATCGGTCTGCCACTCTAAATTGTGTAACATTAATGAACAAGCTCAAGTTCCATCGGGCAGTCATCCGACAGATCATATAAACTTGAATACGTTTTTAGTGTGACAGTCATCCCTCATCCTCTACCTCGGTTTCGGAAGGTCTTCTCAGCTTCATCCAAGATATTCTTGAGAACTTAAGGAACAAATTTTGATGTCCGGAATCGTTGGAATCTCGTAAGTGATCTGCTTTGCGTATGTTCTCTAATTTCTATCTGGATCTAGGCCATCGTGATCGTTCTCGACAGGGATAAAAAGCATTTCAGTTTCTGCCTCTCGACTTCAGCTCGGAACCTTGACAGCCCTCACTTGGCCACCTCCAGGGGAATCGCTTCAGATTCATTCATTCATACATCATTCAGAGACTGGATGTGTTTCTCAGTGCCCACCATTCTTTACGACCTTAACCCACATTCCAGAATCGGCCAAAGCAATGATCACCTCACTCCCGATCACAGCACGTCAGAAGCTCCTACTCCTCCTACCCTTAAAAAAGAAGCCGTCGGAAGACACATGGCTAGAATCTTCAGAAGAATCGTCTGATCTAAGCGGATGAAGGAGTAAAGCTATGGAGCCTGCAAAATGACGAGGTCTACGGAGAGTTTCAGCCTGGGTCCCCTGGAACTCTCAACACTGACATCTGCTCGCTCAGTAAGACAAAGGCGAGCAACCATCTCTGTCTTCTACCCTTCAGAATCTTTGTTGTAAATTTGGAGGTTGCTAGATCTTTTAGGATCGAGCAACTGCCTCTGCGGTGGAATCATCGCCTACAGAGCTACAGCCGAGACGTCATCAGTCATTCGAGCGGGTAGAGTGGACTCCGGTCGTTCACCTTACCGCGCACGAAATGCATCGACGAAGACCCACTGCAAGACTAATGCTCTGCAAGTCAGTCAGATGTCGACCACCTGCCCCCAAGTGGACCGATCGCCGCTGCATTAGACTGACTTGATACGCCCGGAGAGCAAGCTTACTCACTCACTAACTCACTCAATCACTCCCCGTGCCCACTCTATACGAGTTTAGAAACCCATCTTCTGCACCTCTAACACTCCTCCACTCCTTTTTCAGTTGAATTTGGTCACCATCTATCTCGAGCTTCCCACGATGAGTAACATTCAAGTCTGCTCTTCATAATAAGGCACTGCATGTGCCAATCTGGCCCGAGTACTTCACTGGTACGATGGCATTTATCTGAGGTACAGTCTGATCGCCATGTCATTTCGAGTCAGTGATGACCACCACCCTCGCCCCACCTCTGGGTTCAAGACCATGCTCAGTTCCTGCCCGTGTCCGAAGGATAATTCGGACTGGCTTTCGTAACCCCGACTCAGGCCTTGCTACCGCTGGACACAGCCCCGGTCTTGCCCACGGTCTGGTTCGAGAAACCCACCCAGGGTAGTTGCGTTTATCACGTTCTATGCCATGCCCTGACCTGCCTTAGCCTCAACTCCATTCGGGACAATTCCGTTCCCGTCCGATGCCATGAACTGCTGGATACAGTATTTATTTGATTGTACTGTACTGTACCGAGACGAAGGCCTTCGAGATCTGTTCGTGACTGCAATACCTCGCGGTCTTTGTCGGTGAACGGAAGGAAGGATTCGGACGGACGGGGACGGCGCGGGCCCGGACGAGGGATTGTGGTGACGGCGGACTTTGGATCTATTATTAACGGAGTCGGATGGCAGGGCAGGCAGTCATAAAGCCGGTGGCTGGAGGGCGAGCGGGCGGAGGCTTAATGCGTCGGAGCGGTGATCAGATGCGACGAGCATGCAACTTACGTGGAAGTGAGTGGTTTCATGGAGGAATGTCGGGCAGGCCTCATCTCGTCCACGTGAGCGGACATCCTCCAGCTCTACGACCTCCCGCCGCACCTTTCCCGGTGACGTGACGGACTCTCGAACCATTATTCCTGTCACCTCTCCCCACCCACCACCCGCTCCGGCCCCGATCGCCGTGTTCGCATTAGACCGGGCGAACATCACAATCCCTCTGCAGTTCCTCTGCCCTTCCTCTGCCCTTCATTTCGCACCGGTCGCGCATTTCCGTCCGCGTCCGCGTCTACGTCTGTTCTTCTGGTTCCGCCTGAATACTGACTCCCCGGGTGCTGTTCACGGCGATTACTAGGACCCTATTTGGTTAGAGACCTTGTAATCGGGAGGACCCGATTAGAAGGTTAGAGACGCTTTCTCCGAAGGAAGGCGATGTCCGCACTGCGTCGTAGGAGCGGGTGGAGAGTCCCGAGGTGGGACATCGGGACATGGTTCCAGTGTACTGGTCCTCGATTGGCTCGCAATCCCCACCGTTTACACGGTGGGGATCCAAATGGAGATCCACAGCGATGTAGTGGGACTTACGTGGTACAGCAATAAACAAATTTGCTGTTTGCCTGTTTCTCCAGGTAACACACGATATCGAAACCGGTAATGAGCGGTCTATCACAAAAATAATTGTCTTCCCGAGTATAGTCAAAGGGAATTGTTGGGACTTCTTCGAAATTCTCTCAGTACGCTTGACCGAATGTACAGGTCAAGGGCCCTGCGTGAGCCCTCCGCTCCTCGATGTGGTTGCGTGACGAATAATGGGGGAAGGGTCCCAGTCGTCCGGAACTTTGCTCGGCCAGAATAGCTTGGAGTAGTCTGACTCGGCCGGGGAATCGCCGTTCTGTAATGTAGTGGACGTCGGACGTTCCGGGCCGTTGCCGGGCCCCTAGCCTGAGCCGCGGCTCGTAGGCTGCAGAGCGGGTGAATTTGAGAGGACCGCCGGCGGCTGGGCTCGCAGCGTGTCGTCGTTTCTCCGCCTCCAGCTCTGAATTTAAAGCGCTGCGAGCAAGATTGCTGTGGCACGTGACATTTCGGGCCTTGGAGAGAGAGAGAAGCATCAGTGCAAAGGCCTCGATCAGCAAGCAGCTGAAGCTCGAATCTGTCACAATCTGCGCCGGACTCGATCACATTACTGCTCGCCGCGGAAAAGTCTGATTCTTTGAAGTTGCTCGCATTGCGCCACAAGTCTGTTTTGAAATTCTGACGGTCGTTTGACGTCCGGAGAAAGCATTTTTACTCCAGTCTCGCATCTTTATGCGATTCCAATTGAGAGCGTGGTGAGCTGCGATTGCGAGGCGATTGCGATTGCGGTTTCAGCAGGTTTCTTGAGAGAAAGGTGAATTGGACTTGGAGTAAGTGCTGGTGTGTGGGGAGGCGTAATTATGACGAAGCAGATGGTCGAGGAGCCTGCTGTGACAAATGAAGAGAACGGCAAGATGGAGCATGGCGTTTTGTTAGCAAAGAGCGAGTCGTCCGTTGAGGATGCATGTGCGAATGGCCCAAACGGAGTGCTCGAGAAGTCGTCGGACACATCTCGTATCGTAGACCTGCGGTCGGACACCGTGACTAAACCCACCGCACTCATGCGTATTGCAATGGCTGAAGCTCTGGTGGACGATGATATTCTTGCCGCAGACCCCACGGCAGCCAAACTCCAGGAACGCATGGCAAATGTCTTTGGTAAGGAAGCGGGGCTCTTTGTACCGTCCGGCACGATGGGGAATCTCATCGCCGTCCTTGTACATTGCGAGGTTCGAATTCTTCCCGCCCGTTGTGATTGTTCTACCCTCCTTCTGGACATCTGAAGTTGGACGGGCGGCACGCTACATTGTAAAGTGCGACAAATTTAACTTCCTTGTTCGATGTGCTTGCGCTTGAATAGCTGGCTATCATCGGACATTTTGTTAGCTCAAATGTTGGACTTTATTCAAGAGTGTTTAACTCCTCTTCGATAGATTATGTGTTCTTAGTTGTCCTTACTCAGTATTGTGGTTTTTGAATTTGTGGGAACCAATCGCAATTCGGGTTAACCTTGCCGTGTAAATATGTTCTGAACATAGGTTCGAGGGTGTGAAGTTATTATTGGTTCGGAGAGCCATATTCATGTGTATGAGCAAGGTGGAATATCGACTCTTGGCGGTGTGTACCCACATGTTGTTCCTAATGAAGTTGACGGAACAATGGACCTACGTAAAGTTGAGGCTGCCATACGTCCAAATGATGAGCATTTCCCCATCTCTCGTCTAATCTGCATCGAAAATACTCATAACCGGTTAGTAGCTTCCCTTTCGCTGTTTATCTCTGCAAAAATACGTCATTCCTCGCGTTCGATTTCAGGAGGTTCGTGCTGGTGAATTTTGAATTCCCTGAGTTAATTCTATATGATTTTGTTTGTCAACCTCGACTCCAAAATTTTGCTACTGTATACTTTTTAACTTCACAGAAGAATTACTGAGCTTAACGATATGTCGTCGATGTCGTTACATGCGGCCAAGGGATCGTAATATAGCTGGCTGTAAGTAATGTAGTGTGGTGTTGCAAGGATTTCAGCCCATGAATCTGTTTATAATTACGGTGTTTACGTTGCAGATGTGGAGGAAGATGCTTATCTGCTGAATATACAGATCAAATTGGCGACTTAGCCAAGTCCTATGGACTGAAATTTCATATAGATGGGGCGCGCATCTTTAACGCGTCTGCGGTAAACTTCTCGACTACATTTATCGACCACTGTCTTCTTATCTCTCCTTTCTCTTCTGCAACTTGCAGGCCAAATGCCATGCTCCTCATGTTACTTTTTCTTTTGGGCTTGGGTGGGGGACAGGGCGGGTTGATAGTTTTGATGGTTGGAAAGTTGTAGTCCGTAGCTTGCTAGTCTGAAATATGCTCAGTACTTTTTTTTTCTAAAATGCTAGAAATAGTTCGAATTACCTTCGAACTCTTTGCATATCTGTCACTGACACTTTTCTCAACCATGTAGGCTCTTGGAGTTTCGGTCGATAGACTATGTAAAGCAGCTGACTCTGTGTCGGTGAGAAATCCCAACTCCGTGATGCAATTCAAATAATTTCCTGTTAATGGAAGTCTTGTCCTCGCTTGTTACGACGTGTCTATTTGCAATTACGACATGTTTCTGAAGTACATCAATAGCATCAAACGCATCAAGCGGTGGACCTCACCGTACAGATTCATGGACGGCAACTTTTGAATTGCAGATATCTACTTTTTTTGCATTTGCGCTTCTTACAATTTGCAATCAAACCAATCGAAATTCCCTTATAATTTTCGTCCCCTTGTTCACAGATTTGCCTTTCGAAAGGATTGGCTGCTCCAGTCGGCAGCGTACTTGTTGGCTCTTACGAATTTATTGCTAAGGTTGGCTACTCAGGGTCTGGCCTTCATGTCTCTGTACTTGAATCTGAAAGTCCTGCTGATCCATCTCTTCAACTGCCTTTTGGACCAAAGAAGTTTACATATTCTTGGGGTCAAAACTTTGGACTCACGGTTTGCTCGGATGCTTAAGAAAAGCCGGCTGGTTGTTGTTCTTGAACACATTTATCATCTCAAATAGCAGTTGTGACCTTTGCTGATTTTTAACAGGCTTTGAGCTCATTCTGTGGGCAAATGAAGAGAGCTCGTTCCACCAGAGCAATGACAGTGCTCCTTACGTAATTCTTTTTCTTTTTTTTCGCAGGCCAGGAGACTGAGAAAGGCCTTGGGTGGTGGTATGAGACAAATCGGGGTTTTATGCGCTCCCGGATTGATATCTTTGAACCACATGGTTCAGAGACTCGACTGCGACCATCGCAATGCTCGTTTGCTTGCAGGTTTTATTTGGTTTCTTGCTTTCTGCTAGGTTTTTAAGGAGGACGTTTTCTCTCATGTTTCCTCTCTTGTTTCAATGCTCAAGTTGTTTGAAGATCAAAATGGTGTAGCAGAGTGAAAGATAGCCGCGGTGATTTCTCGTAACCTCCATCATCAACTCTATCACGCCTTTAATAGTGAGATACGTAAACCAGAATAGAACTACGTACAACGTGGTTCGGAACAAGATGCGTCAAACATAATAATAACATAATGCATATAACAGCTTTTACATACTTAAGTGCCGCACAAGGTCATTGGCTTTATCCTTGAATTTTAAACCTTTCAGGTTTAGCATCACTTGAAAAAGTAAGACCTTCACTAGAAATAAAGAGGAACCATTAGCCGACCTTAGTGGATATAATCCTTCAGGTTTTTTCCATATGTTGTCTTCGCTCTCGTTAATTGCTTGTAAATGAATGTTTGGGAACTTAACTTATATTTTGTTGGAATTCTAAGCACAAAGATATATTCTCTCTGATGACGCAAAAATAGTCAGCAGGATAATCGATGACACTTTTATCGTTTTTGCCAGTTTACAAAGAGTTGCATAATTATCTCGGGTGTTATAACGTAATCTGCCATATATAGAACGAGAACTTGCCTTCCATAATTCAAAGTTAGTGTTGCAGGGCACTGTGCTCCGTTTACAGCAAGATACATTAACTACGGGACTACACTAGATCTCGTTTTGTTTTTGGTCATTATGTTGATCCGACGAGAAATTATTCCACTTGTCGAAAAAATTCTTCCAGGAAATGATAGGTGTTTTGAGGTCGGAGCTTGTTTGGTGTGTTTTTTTTTAACCCAGTGTTGCTTCTGTTCTCTGAATCCAGTGCAAGCCGCTTGAATTTAGCACTCAGTCTGCCACTTTTTTATTCGTTCGTGTCGGCAATTTCTTTTTGCATAATCGTTAGTGTCAGATCTTAACCGAACAGTTTATTATTGTTTGTAAAACTCAGAGGGATTGGAGTCAATCCGTGGACTACGCGTCGACGTGGATTCTGTTGAAACCAACATTGTAAGCGTTCACTATGGTGATAAGATAGGTTCTACGTCCAAGTTTTTGTCTTGAGATGTTATGTCTCATTTTGATGTAACAAGATGTCGTGGATCCATAAGCACCCAGTTCTGTGTAGGGTCTTATAACGCAGTTAGGATAGTAAAGCAATTTCAGGAGATATTCGTTGTGAACTGAACATCTGCAGATTGTTTTGGATATCGTTGACTCCGATGTTTGTTTGATTCCTTCCAGGTTTTCATAGAGGTCACATCTGAATCACCACTTGGTGCAAAGGAGATCTGTGAAGCTCTGAAGCAGCAGGGGATCCTTGTTATGCATATGGACCGCACAACCAGGTTGATATAAAGCTCTGCTGTCACTAATTGAGCTTCTTCTTCGGATCGGATGCATATTATTGTGGTGGTAATTATGATATCGTTTCAATTGCTGACAATGGATGTCAAGTTTGAATTAGTGAGAATTTGCATGATTGCAGAATCCGACTAGTCACGCATTATCACATCACGGAGGATGATGCAAGGCTTGCCCTTTCAGCTTTTCAGGTACCTTTTATTTTGTATTTCCTAATGCCAGTTGTGATGACAGAACCACTTTGCTTACATAGAAAATGACTGCTTCAGTGATCCTTTATTTTCCATCGCATATTATCTATTTCCTCTCATCTTTAACCAGTTACGATAGATGGAAATGCGGCTTGGTGTCATTTATATTTCCATTACGTTAGTACACGTCATTGGTTTCACCTTGGCATTCGCTGTAATATACATGGGATAGCAGCTCTCAAGAGATCTTCAATATACTGCCATACCTTTTGAAATCAGTCACAGCCCAAAAGGCCGTACTGAGAGTACTGCAGAAAGTCTCGCTATACTCATATAAAATTTGAAGCATATTAACTAAATTTTTAACATGGCTCTTATTTGTTCCGAAACTTGGTGCAAATTGTGTTCAATCATCAGACGGTAACCAGCTTTTCGATGATTATTAGTTTTAAACTTCAAGTTTTTGTTTACAACTGACAACTTACATCTCGATCTGATCATTAGGAAACAATGTTGAAAGCCTCCTCGAAGGTCGCCATCACCAACGGTTTTACTTGAAACTGCCCAAGTAGATGAAGTTTGTAACTGTTGCAAACCAAACATCAGTTGGCTTTTGAGGTTAGACCCTTCTCAGTATAGAAGCGTTGACTGCAGACGTTCCGAAACGTGTAAGGAGCTCGATATCTGAGCTGGATATTGGCCAATTGATTCATGTATATTGTGTGAAGGTTGTATAGAGTCTAAGTTACGAGCTGGATACTGCCAATATTGGCAAATTGGTAATGGTTGTATATAGAGTCCTAGTTTGCTTCCTGGATACTGGCCAATTCTGGCTTATTTAGCCAAGAAATTTTTGTGTTAAGGTTGCAGTGAGTTCAGGAGATCAAAATATTAATACCTATTCGGGCAATCCTTCTATATTTCGCGTGAAGGCTGTTAGAGCTGCAGGTCGGAACCCTTGTTTGGTCAAATTCTCATTGACCAACTGTTCTGTTCATTCTTAAGTGGCCAGGCCTATGAGTAAATTAAAGCACTATCGTGGTCCCTTAATCAGGCAGTATCAACAACCATTGATATATCTTGGCCTTTAACACACAAGGCACATAGTGATTATCTCATGAACCTCTTTGTCTAACTCTTCCAGGTACGTTCTGAAACCAGCGACTTCACAGTAGCCTACTTGCAGTGAGAGATATACTCATTGTATTTCGTTTAAGGAACACTGAGAGGACAAAGTACGCAAGACATCAGTTCCAATTCTTGAGTTCGACTTGGTCGTTGTGACATAGATTGGTTGAATGCGTCGGAATGAACTCCTAAAGTGTATGGAGCCACTGTACTGTACCTGTCATGAATTCCCAACCAGCTGGTGGGTACAAAGCTGCAAATTTTTGGCCTACAACAGAAGGCTAGCTACGGAAAATGCGGTTAACTGCTACGTAAAGTTACCATGACACTTTTTCGTGCCAAGATATATGTATATCACCTGTCTCCCGATGTGATTGTCATTGTCATTGTCGAGGAAAAGCTTTGTAATCTCCCGTATCACCTTGCTTACACCACCCAGATACTGTTTGAAACAGTGGTTACGCTTGGCAACTAGCCTTAACAAGGGTTTAAGTCAAACTTGCACTGTGCAATCAAACACAGAGAGGACAGATTCCTTCTGATCCACAGTGCCTGCTCCCTGCTGCAGAATTGTGGGCCAGCGTAGTACGGGACGAACACAGCACTAGTTGAACGTACTCTGATAAGCATAGTAGAATGTTTACAAATACCGAGAAAGTACATGCATCCACTGGTTTCGGTATACAGAGCAGCCTGGATGGTTTCATTCCTCTCAAAAATGGTCCGAAGGAAAACTGTGTCTCGACAGTGCAGGAACAGCCTCTCAGTTTATAAATGTGTTCATGAAGCCGTGTTTGTAGACTCTGCGAATTTGATGTAAACCGATTTGATGACTCAGTTTTCCGAGGCTGATGTCAATTAGAGAACGTGACACTTCTCCTTGAAAACTGGTTATGGGCACCATGCGTTCAAACCTTTGGAGTTTTCGACTATCCTATCAGGTAAATTTATGTTGAACGACTCTGATCAGAAGATTCTTTGGTGATTTCCAATGTCCGATTATTTCTATTAAAAATAAAACTTTTCTCGAGGATTATGACGGTACAGTGTCTTACTTTGCATTTATGCTCAGAGATTTACGAAATAGCTGGTAATAAGCACACTTCCAAAGGATTTGGAACACTGTATGCAAGTCATTTCCTCCAATGACCGAGTTGTTGCGTTAAAATTAGTAGCACACGCCACAATACAAATCTGCATCCAAACTTTTTTGTACAACGCCCATAGTCAACGTTGCCTCAAATTAATAGTAGCCGTAATTGAAGAACTATTTTGTTATGCATACGGCAGGATCTTGAACAATGAACGCTAACAATGGGTAAGCATCTGATTTTCAACTCCTGTTCGTTTATCTCTCGACGTAGCCTCTTTGCAAATCTCCATGATTGGATCCGATCACAGTTTCAGGAGTGACCCGGGCCATGATCGGAGCTGAACACACAGACGAGTTTGTGTTTACCACTCTAGGTGTTACCTACCACAAAGTGGGCAGACCAAGTATGCAGTTACTAAAGTCGCACTTCATCCAACACGGCGAGCTAGCTTGTCACTATAATCACACGGCACAATCCATAAGTCCGTAGTATCTGTTGCTTTTCCAGTTAGTATATCGTTCACAAAACTAAATTTCAGTTACCTTCAATGTAGTCTACTTGTATTCTGGAATAATAATTATTTTAATATAGAACAGCTGATATTTGAAGATGTTCCATCATGTCTTATGGTATTCTTAAGCATTTCTAGATTCGTTCTGAAAAGACTTAAAATCTCACTAAAATAAACTACAAAAAAGTAAAAATATCCTAAAGATCAATCCCTAAATAGTGCCAAGAACATTAAATGATGCCAAAAGCATTAGAATGATAACTAATGATGTCATTTATATACCAGTCTAAATCAAAAAAATACTAGCTCTAATAAAGAATAGAAACTCTTCACATCTATATTATGAGATGTAACAAATACACACTCTTCATACTCAATATTCCCATCGTCATATAACCTACAAATACATTTACTCCTATCAATATTAACATACCGTAAGGACGTAAACATCAGTGCAATTAGATATTTCTGTTCGTGTAGACAAACATAGGATTTATTAGAAATTTGGTGCATTATTGCATTTTAGTGAGTCGTCTACTCTAAATAATGTTGAGAAATTCTTGTTGTAGATGCTCGCGAAGTGCCATAGGTTGCAAGTCCCAATTGCGTTACGCCATATTACACCTCAAAGACCAAATCACCACATTCGCTAACCACCTCTTGGAACATGTGGCACCTAAGGTTTGAAGAGTAAGGCGAGAATCATCAAGAGATCTCATGCTTATGGTGCAAGTGATGTAGAGGAAAATTGTCTTTGACAATAAGAAATTAAATAAAAGAGATGCATGATTTGATTCTGACTGAGATTCTAAAATATCAAATGTTGAGATAAAAGAGACACTAGTGGCCGGATACAAAAGATAATCGATGGTGCTAGCGCATATTGCAAGTGCGTGTAAAGTATTTGAGCATGAACTGCAACCTCCGGGCTGAATCTCACTCAAATTTATCTCTTATGGCTTTTTGATAGCTCATCATGTAACTAGAATGCTAAGATTAATTCTCATGCTCATGTCCCAAGCACACTCTCACACAATCTCTCCACTCATCACACACATTGACACTTCAAAATACTAAAAATTTCACTACTTGATTGATGAAACAAGATTCTATATAATAAACTCTTGAAACTTGTTTGAGAGCCTCTCATCTAACTCTCTACTTATACTATTTGAGAAATTATCATAGTAACATGTGGTGATTATCTATCAACTTACTTAAGATAAACCTTGGTAGTTTTTACTAACTCTCTATACGTTGCAACATGCCAATGGCCTTCCTAAACCTTCTAGAAGCTTTTCAATCCCGAGGTTAACATGGCGACATGCTTTCAAACTTCTAGAAGCTTCCCTTGACTCTAAGTCAACATTGGTCAAAGTGTAACCAATTATCTTTTATACACTAAATCAAACCAATAAAATCTAATCTTGTAGTCAAAAGTTTTTTGTCTTGAAAACTAAACTTTTGTAAAAGACAAATTAAAATTGATCACTACAATTTTCTAGAACTACTCTAATTATTTTTCCAATTATAGATATTATACTTAAACTTAATCCTGGTTATATAAACTTAATTATGACTAGCTAGATTTAGTTATGTCTAAGCTAATCATACTCCACTCCTTGGTTATTTTTAATACTGGAACACACATACAACAACCAGTCTTTCAGAAGATGGTGCAAAATAACAAATTGCCAAATAACTAAAAGATACTCCAATCAATTCAAGACAAAATCAATGATATTGTTCTCCAATATCTTTACTTTCTAGATATATAAGAGCTAGAAATTAAGTTATGATGAAAGTAGCAATATTGTCATGAACTCTTGTTGCTCGTTGATTTTTATGATTTCAAGTGAAGACCATCAAAGTTAAACTTGATGTCTTTCCAATAGTATTGTTCTCTTGTTTTCAAATCTCCACAATGTTGACGATGTCCGACATCTTCCAAATCGGATGTGTACTCATATACTTTGTTATAGATTGATCTTTTATATACCACATCAACATACTCAAGCTCTTGGATTGCTAGATAATTGTTTTTTCCCTTGAGGAACAATTGATTGACCATCATGTGGATAAAATCCGACTTCTTGAACTTCTTTGACTTTTGTAAGCTTCTTTTTTTTTCTTCAACTTGTAGAGGTGTAAGATCAAGATTCAACAAAATCCTATATTCCTTGATAACAGTCTTGTTAGTTATGATAGTATCACGTTGAGTTTTATCAACAACCTTAACTATAATGGCACTATGTTGAATTCATATGTTTCTAACTTTAGAAATTTTAAGCCAAATTTGGATTATGAACATGAAGTTTTCAATCAAAAACTTGATGACGATGTTCTTTAACTCTTCATTTTTTGTTTCACGTAGATTTGATATTTTCACATTTTTTTCAACGAACAAGTTGATTTGTTTTTTCAATCGGTGCTCTTACAAAAAGATATATGAGTAGTTTTTGTAGCTCCGGCATAAGATTTCATTTTGACTTCTAAATTTTCAACCACCTCATGCAATCCAAGATTTTGAGAGCATGACTTCTCTTGAATATTCTTGACGAATCTAGATATATTAAGCATCACAAAACTACTATCTTTCAACATACTCTCCATATACTTTTATGACCTCTTCAACTCTTGGATTTAAATGCTTGCAAGGATTAACGCTGCAATTTGTAGCTTGAATTCAAATTGGAGCTCTTTCAATTTTTCCAAGATTACTTGCACAAGATTGAGGATTTCATCCTGAATAGCCTTCATGTAATCAACTTTACAGAATTTGTAACTTAAGTGTATTATAAGACTGTTTTTTTATATGTGAAGTAGGTTTAGAAGTAGCCAAACGGTTGATCATGATTAGTTTAGATATGACTAAGTCTATCTAGTTATAATTAAATTTATCTAGTTGTGACAATGTTTAGCTATGATTTCTATGATTGGCAATTCATTTGGATTATTTTAGATACATAGAAGTTTTATAAACTCAAAAAAATTCTATAAGGTTTGAATGAGCACAACTATTTTGTTTTCTATCAAAGTCTAGTTCCAAGGATGGCATACTTCACTACATGATTAGTTTTGATTGATTTGACTAAATAATAAAAATTTCATTGCTTAGACTAAGTCTAGTTGTTGACTTAGTAGCAAGTGAAGGCTTTTAAAATTTGAAAGTCTCAAATGACAT